TAGTTCAGTTTTGGAACTGTAGTAGCAGCTGGGAACCATGAAATTGAATAAGGGCCAGTCCTATAACTCACTTTAGGCTACAGGAATTTGCAAAGTAAAACTCTTCCATTTGAGGATTGTAAAAGAATTTTCTTTAAATTAAAAACGTTCAAAATTTTTGTTGTTCCAATTTAATGGAATTGTAGCATTTCAAAATTTTGCCTAATTTTACACCAAAACCGAAGATGAAAAGGAATGGAGGTTCTCAATTTCATCACGACTGACGCTGCCTAAACCATAGAGCACACCACAGTGCTATTGAAACCAACAATAAAACAAATGAGTGCTCTGTAAGCTCCAGAATACACAGTGAAATGAAACATAATGAAACACAGAATTACATTACATTTACTATTATTTCCTATAATGAGAGTCTATCCATCTTATCAACTTCTGTGATAACCTTTGCCCCTTCTGGACCTGATGAGTTTTGCAAATTGTATAAACAAAACTAGGAATTCTTATCCAAGATTACAAACAGAGAAGAAAGGTACATGCTGGTGGAAAACAAGGACATACAGAAATTCTTTAAATAAAACCTCATTGCATTGGGATTCTTCCATAGAAGAAAATCAGAAGGACAATCACACTAGGAGAAACAGATGCTGAAAAAATATGCACTTTCTATAGGCACATGATGAAGTTAGTGTCTCAGCAGATACTGCTCTGAAATCTGTTTTATCGACCTGAAGCTTATGCAAGCAGGATGACTCAAGGGTAATTGACAAGAGACAGAAAGAAATGATATGTTGTTGTATGTGCTCTGAGCTGTTTTCTCACCACAAAACCCTTTGATACACATATGTCTTGTAATTAAATATTATATAAAATTCTTGCTGAATACAACGATTGCAGCCTTCAGATATGCCTGTTCTGGAAAAGGTCATAAAAAAAATTAAATCACAATAAAATAATGTCTTCTGCTCCTGGCATTTCATATACTCTGAGGTAAAGTATACTCTGTGTTGCCACCTGCAGCAACAAAGCCAACAGCAGCATGTGATTAGGACTCCGAAATCTCTTCTTTATCTGAGATTGCTTTCTGAAATCAAATTCAGGCAGAGAGAAAAGGAGGAACAAACAAGTTTACTGCAGCTCTGCAATAGCAAATAATCAAGAGAACTACTTGAGGAACATTAAGTGAAGCACCAGATTCTTCAAATATTATGATAATTGAAACACAGGTGTTGAATATCCAAATATGTGCAGATCTCTCTCCTTAGTGTGAGACAAACTACAGTGCAGGGGGAAAAAGAGCCAGTCTGTGAGCTAGAGGACAAATTTATCTCAACCTAAAATTTGTCAACAGCTATGTTGAACAGGCAGTGTGTTCCAGTGCATGACAAATGACACTGCTATTCATAGAACAGGTGTAACACAGATTGCCACAGTCTAAGTTTTCACCAACACTGCCCCGTGCTCCAAGAGATGTTATGCACTCAGCCATAGAGCACCATGGTGTGCTCAAGTGGAAGTTGCAGCTGATACAGTAAATTATCTAACAGTTATGTGCAACTAATCTTTATGGTTTCTTGTAAAAAAAACCCAGACATTGAGACGATTAGCAACTCTCTTTGCACTTGGACTGCATTTTGTAAAATGAGAAACATTTGATCTCTGGCCGTAAGGAAGCGATATTTTGTTTTGACATCAGGTCTGATGAGCAGATTCATCCAAATGCTCCACATCAGCCCTTGATTTGCACAGCTACAGAGAAAGGGTGCACCTTCAGCTCATTTGTAGCCCCATTCTGTCTCTTTAAGCATATTTTAAGGAGAGCACAGATTCACTGGCCAATCAGTTCAATAAAACTGTATGCATAAAAATACATGGAGAATTCTGTTCTGGCTTCTTCATACAGCTTCATGGAGGATCTTGGCTTCAGACCAAACAACTGCAAAAGCAACACTTTTCCCCCTCAGTGTTTTAGCAAAGTGCACATAATACATCTTTAAGTAAATTAGTGTTATAACAGTTTTCCACTGATCCATCTTGAGAAGTCAAATGAGAACCAAAAATAGATCCTGTTTTCAATTTCCCCTGAGCAGCAAAGTGATTTGAAATCCTCCCTTGCCACAGGAAACAAACAGATAAAAAACAAGTTTGGCAGTGATTCAGTAAATATATGTGCTTATTCAGTATTTAAATTCAGGAGCCAAGGAACCCTTTATTAGAAAAGAACAATCAACACATCCAATGGTAAAAAGCAAGTGTGACTCTCCAAGAAAATCCCTTCGTCTGTAGTCAGATGCTCTGTGACATTTACAAAGGAAAACTCAACTCAGAGTATGCAGTGGTTGTCAAAGATACCTCTGTGGAGAGGTGCAGAACACCTAAACAGCCATGTACCATAAGTATACCTATGTTTTAAGGGACTGGCAAAGTATAGGTGAAGATATGAACAGATACTACTTATGGGAACAGGCTAAACAATAGATTGTAACCTCAACCTGAGTTTTGAAAAAGGGGAAACCTCCCACTTGGAAAATTCCTGCAGAGCGGTATAGTTATTGAATCAGTAAAATAACACAAGCATTTCAAAGCAGAAGAGCCCTTACCTTTAGGTCTGATAGGATCATATGCAGTTTCTCAAGTAACTACTGCTGGAGTTGTCTGAGATAAGTAACAGAATTTTCAAAAATGAAAACAAGATGATCTCATTTGAAGGTTTGGTACTTCCTTAAAATATTTATGTAATAAAGGTAGTCTCTGACAAGGAAATCTGGATGTGTTGAATGAGAAAATAAAAAGAAAAAACAGTAACCAAGCATTACAGCTTACTTCAGAAAAAGCATAAAAACATAGGATAGTTGAGATCAAATCTCTGAAAGAAGATTGCACTTGAATATACTTGACTAGTACAAACCATACCGTCCCTAATTTTGCTAAGAACACATGCATGTTAAATTATTTTTCTTGAGGTCTGTTGGTAGATTTGGCATCAAGGTACTAAAATTAATTGCTCTTTGTATCGTTGTTGCTAATGTGATGTTCTCCTGTTTGTTTTTCAGCAGGTCATGTCTATAAAACTCATCACTAGTGGCAGTGGCATTGAAAGAAGGTAGTCTGGTTATCATGACATCAAGCTAATGAAGATTAGCTTGAAGAAAGCAAAGGATCCCTTCCTCTCCAACTCTGTAGGACAAAAGGAAGGGGGAGAATGAGGTAAATATTAATAACATTTTATATAAACTACTTGAATTTGTTCTGCTTATGTGGAATCACATCTGAATAAAATTAAAGGAGAGAAAGGAAAAGTATTGCCCAGTCATTAGAAAAATAACAAATGGGTTGTTAATTGGCAAGTGTTTAAAAGGCTGGCTCTAATCAGGGTAAATGGGCTTGTTTTTCCAACACTGGGTCTCACATCAAAACAACAAGAAACAATTGAAAAATCTCTGCTGAAGAAAGCAAGAGGAAGTGGGTTGTCACCAGCTGTTCAAAGACAAGATCCTGCAACAAATGTGTAGCAGCAGATGCCGTGTGAAGCACGGGGAATGTAAATGCATATGAGTCATCACATAAGCTTAGTGGGGACAAGCTGCAGGCCAGAATCCTGGGGGTAAAGATTTTCATGATTTTAACCATTACTCCACCTGCTTTATACTTTGTTCAAGTACACAGTATATTGTTTTTTGGACGAGGGTGTCTTTAAGCTCTGTTAAAGAGCCCCAAGCAGAAGGAAAATATCTTACAGAAGTATTATGCTTTGGGCTTATGACATCAAAAAGCGAGCATTATTGTCTGTCCAAAAGGGACAGGAGTTTAAAACATTTTCCCCTTTCCCTTCCCTTTAAGGTTCATGATAATAATAAAAATTGTTAAATGGATAATTTTTATGGTTTGCAGCATTTCACTGATTTGTTTTTCCACTCCAGATTCATAAGTAGCTCAACTGGCACACTGGGAAAGAATAGAAAATTGGCATAGTGGCAAAAATGGAAGAACTACCAGCTGTGTTTCACAGAGATAATCCTGAGGATCTCATCTCAGGTTGGTTGCCCCTGGGCAGTGGGATAAGCCCTTGCAACAGGAAGTATGATGAAATTTGAACTGAAGGTGACAGTAGGATGCTCTCCAGGAGTTTTCAGTAAAATCCTGCTTCTCTAAAAGAAATAGCAAGAAAGAGACAGAGGGAGGAGTCCCAGATTCAGCTCCTGCCTTGGCAGTCCTAGCTGTATGTATTCAGGCACTCTCATACTCTAATCATTATAACAACCACACTGATTTACACAATTCCGTAATCTTATAAGAAAATAGGTCAGTGGGGATTATCAAATTTTCATCCATTTAATTTCAAAATTCTCTTCTTGTTTTTCCCCAGCAATACCAAGCTCTCAAGTAGAGAGGAAAAAAAAGCATTAGAAGAAGACTTTGCATGGAGGTGGATCTACATTTTGAAGCCATTTTTATATTTCATGCTACTATGTTCTACTGTGACATATCCTGAGAATTCCCTCCTGCCAGTCACCCTCGAAGCAGCCATCCCAAATTTCTCCACTGAATTCATACTGCTTAACACATCACAAACAAGGAGTGGTTTTTGTGCTTTAAAGAAGAATTTTAGGGCTGAATGGAAACCGTGATTTAATTTTTTGAAAATACGATGACCTTTTGATATTAAAGTTTTCCTGGTTTAAAGAAAACAAAAAACAACAACAAAAAAGAGAGGAGGGCTCTCACTAGCCAGTGGTATAGACATTTGGAGATTCACCTGTGCCAGAAGGGACACTGCATGGGTACCAACCCAGTGGGAACACAATTACACCCTGAGTTGCGCTGGGTTATGATTTTCAGACTCCATCCAGGTGATGCCATGAAGCTGGTGGCAGCAGGGTTCCTTTTGGACTTCTGCCACATAGCTCTACCAGTAGTCAGGGGAGGCATATAAGTTTCCCTTGGGATAATTTATCTGCAAAGCCACTCTTTAGAAAATAAAAAAAAACCAAACACAGTTGTACCTGATCTTAGGAAGGAGGTTGAGGACTGGACTTTGCCACATCTCATCGCAGAACTCAGGCAGGCACCCAGCATTGCAAGTCCTTCTTCTGCACCTGGGCAAATGAAGTAGGAAAGGAATGAAATGAGTTCCTACTGCCCTTCATCTCTTACTTATCAGACACATAGTTGAAAGAAACTGCTAGTGGCATTATACACCATCTGAGCCAGATTTTTCACCTCAGGCTCATGACATGGTCCCTTTTCCAATTCTATTGGAGCCCCAGTGGTTGGGCTCCAACCATGGGAAGGGATGGGAAGCTTGGGGGAGCCTGACAGCACCCACGCTTGTTCCTCACACCGGTAAGATGACCAAACCTATAGTTTCAGTGATGAAAGCAGACCACAAAGCAGTTATTGTATTTCCAAGGGAGGGAAATCCAGCCTGACTTGGTTTTGTCATAAGTGATTAGATTTTATATTGTGCTTATGTACTTCTCCTAATCAAATTAGCATGTTGGCTCAAAATCAGCCTAGCAGAAAAACTCTCATTTTCTACTCATTCTGCTTCATTTATCACCTGGAATTACCAAAGTTTTGAGATTTTCTTTCCTCTCTGTCTAGGCCCAGTTCTGCTTAGCTTACAAAATTTGAAACATTCATAGCCCAAGGTTGCAAGAGCAATGAATATTTATAATCCCATCTTCCCAGCACACTCAGAGGTGTCTCACAGCGTGACTTCACATTAGAAATGTCCCACCTGTGGGGATCACTCAGAAAAACACAGATTACAAGTCTGTACAACATAGAACAAGGTCAATACCCAAATTATGGGAATTATCACCTTAAAAAAGGTTGCATATCTGATGATGCACTGCACCAACACTGATTTATAGGTGCTGTACTCATGACTCTCCCCTGTGAAGACAGAATTTCAGCTATTAAATTACAACATTATTCCCTGGTTCTTGTTCTGAGCCTTCTCATGAATCAGCTGCAAACTATGTAATGTGCTCCTCTCTCCATTTACAAAGGTAGCCCCTATCTCCAACAGCAAGAAACATAAAAAAGGGTTTCTCATCAAGCTTCAGAGCACGGGGAAATAATATAATTTAAAGAACATAGTGACTAGTGACAAAACACAGGCAGGACTCCAGTGATGAGAGCTCCTTAGAAAATACTGCAAATGAAACTGTGTGACCCTTCAGGTATCTTCTTAAAATTCAATGCAAATATTTGTCTTTTTTTGGCTGAGGCCACATTTAAAAAAAACACCCCCCATCCCATTCGCCTCCAAAAATGCAATTAAAGTTTAACATTAATTCAGATTATTTTCCTATTCAAGAAAGAGCTATGAGGATTACTGTCAGTTTTAACACTTGTCAGGAAAATATGGTTTCTTCCACTTTGCAGACAGGCAATTAACGTTCAGCAGCAGCACTGAAATTAGAAACTATCTAGAGGCCATTTTAGGCCAAGAAAGTTTTGCCATTGATTTTAATGCATCAAGATATAATGTATCCTCCAGTATCCTGCCCTTTCCTATTTTCCCCAAACTTAGGGTGAACCATTAAATTGAAGCTTGCCCTGTAAATCCCATAAGCTATTAATGTAGTTCCCTTAGCTGGAAGATAGATTAATGACCTGAGACTTCTGTAGAATATTTGCTACTTCAGTGCAAATTAATATCATATTTTATCCTCATTTTATACTCACATCCAGTACTTCCTTCTGCAAAGGATACCAGAAGGAGCTGGTTATTTAAATGCCAAGATTCTAAATCTTATCTTCAAATTTTTAATCAAACTGTTTAACATGAGTCTTAAATTTCTGCATCTCCCTTTTTCATACTTCTCTCACCTCATTTTTTATGCTAAGAACAAAGAAAAAATTAAAAATTCAGATATGTTTAGGAGGGTTTATTTAAATACTAGTGAAGTTTTTTAAATGCTTTATATTTCTCAGGACTCAATTCTCCTCCACACTCCACAGCTTGGGCTGGGACTAAATACAAATGTCTTTCACTGCACTCAGGTCTGAGTTCTCAGCTTTCAAATAGATTTAAATTTTCTAGGTAAGGTGTGCTATCCTGCAAATAATGCTTTTGTCCACAGTCTCCTATATTTTTTTATATTTTTAATTAAAATATCAATTCTTCTTCCAATGTCTAAAATAACATTTTTTAGTAAACACATTTCTCTGATATTGGAATCAATTTCTGGAGAAAGTAAAATCATGAACACATGAAAATGGCTTGAGACACATGCTTAGTTCTAGTCAGGCCTCCTTTCTGCAGGAATGAAAATTATGGCAAGGTCCCCAGTTCCTCAGGCAAACACAGTAGGTTTTTAGAGGAAATAAAGAAAGTGGTAATGGGGGAAAAGGCAAAGTTGTTTCCTCTCACTGTTCTTTCTTGCCAGCACTTCAAAAAAGTTTGCTATTTATTTGTAAAACTAGGCTCAAATTTCAAACCTGAAGCAGAATTTTTCTTTTGTTCTATACTTCAAACCCTCAACAATATTAATAATAATAACAACTGTAAAAATGTTATGAAGATCACAGAACACAAACAGCAGTTCAGAATAAAACTATACATTTTATTTTCTGGTCTACATTTGTTATTATTAAAATCTATGAAGAAAACACAGCCACTTCCTTATGATCTGTTTTGGCACCAGTGTTAGGTATCAAATCACAGGCAATTTAACACAGACTTGTAACCACATTCACTTACACTTGATGAAGCTTCATTAGCTGTTATTGGGGATTGTTCTGGTCAAAACGCTTTTTGGGAGCACATTTCAGACACTCACTTGTCTCTTGATTAGAAATATCCTTTACCTCCAATCTGAACATATTTAGAATTGATTATTTCATTTGTAAGGAGCATTGTTACAGTACAAGGAACGTTTTCCAACAAGGAACATCTCATCCAACTGTTGTACCACTTCAGAGCTGTTATGAAAGGCACTGTCTAAATGCCTCTTAAACGCTGACAGGTTTGGGGCATCCACCACCTCTCCAGGAAGCCTGTTCCAGTGTTTGACCACTCTCTTGGTAAAGTAATGTTTCCTAATCTCCAGTTACAGATAATACCATGAAGAATGACTAAATTTCACAGACAGTTAAGAGGGAATGATGTGAGGATGGCCAAGATGGGAGGTCTAGATTGGATATTAGGTAAACTTTCTTCACTGATAGGTTTATTAAGCATTGGAACAAGTGGCCCAGAGAAGGTATTACCCAGAAGTATTTAAAATATTTGAAAGTGTAGATGCAGCGCTTAGGGACGTGGCTTAATGATGGACTTGGCAGTGTTAAGGTAACAGTTGGGCTCGATGACCTTAAAGGTCGTTTTCAACCCAAATGATTCTATGATTCTATGAAATGTCACAGATAATGGAGCAGAGAACTAAGGACATTTTGAAGAGTGAAACTTGCTGGGTGACTGCTAAATGATTGGCTAGGTAACCCCACCAGAAACACCAAGTTTGGATACAGAGGTAGCAAAAGTGAGACTTGTGAGGAAAAAGTAGTCAGGGTGGAAAGTTATTTGAGAGTAGACAGTGGGGGATAAAGAGAGGTCAGTCATGTTAAATGGGAGAGTAGGCATGGGAAATTGAAGGGAGGGAAACAAAGGGGACAGCTGAGTTGCTGGTCAGTATGCTTGAGCTCTGCACCTGATCACCACAGTCCAGTCCATCTTATTCAATTCAACTCCTGTTTTCTGCTTTAGGTGTCAGCTTTGCCTAACATGGGAATTATTGCCTAGACCCTTTGTCTGAGAAATAGCTACAGTCAGGTGTCTGCTGTTGGATGATGCATTGCCCACAGCTTCTGCATTCTGTCATCCTTCTTTGCTTCATTTTTTCCTTTGAAGTTAGAAAAGAGAGATAAAAGACTACAGAAGCAAGAGAGGTAGCAATGTAGGGAATATGAAAAATTTCAGAATGACAAGCTCTCCCCGTCCTGGTTTCAGCTGGGATAATTTTCTTCCTTATATCTGGTACAGTCCTGTGTTTTGAATTCAGTATGAGAAGAACAATCGAAGCCTACTGATGTTTTGATTGTTGCTAAGTAGTGTTTACCTTAAGTCAAGGATTTTTCACTATTTCATGCTCTGCCAGTGAAGAGCTTCACAAAAGCTGGAAGGGAACATAACTGAGACAGCTGATCCAAACTGGACAAAGGGGTATTCCATACCATAGAACAACATGCCCAGTCCATGAACAGGAGTTACCCAGAAAGGGATGGATTTCAGCTCAGGGATGGGCTGGCTATCAGTCAGTGGGTGGTGAGCAATTGTGTACCACTTTTTTCTCTCAGCTTTTCTGTCTCTCTCTCCCTCTTTATTACTATTCTTATATTTTACTTCATTTCATTTCTTATGTCAACCCATAAGTTTTACTTTTTCCCCCTAATTCTCATCCCCATCCCACTTTGAAGTGGGGTGGGAATTGAGTGAGCAGCTGCCTCGTAGTTAATTGCCAGCTGGGCTTGAACCACGACATCCCCATAAGTTCCTATCCAGACACTGCTATTTATTGTTATTCGTTCATTGGTGCCCAAGTTGCTAAGCCTCTTGGCAGGGAAAATCAGAGCATACTTGACTTCACTCTGCTGTAGCCAAAATGCTTCATGTACCCAAAATAATTAGTTTAATGGCAGCTCGAGTATCACTGCACTGCAGCACTGCCATACTCTGTCTCAGCAAAGAAGATAAAGAGCTAAACAACTACACCTCCACTCAAAGCTTCCTCTTCTTTTGTCCTAGAGGTAACACTACAAGCATCACTAACAAAAACAAATAAAAAGAAATAAATTGGCAGTAGTATTGCCTCTGAGATCCCAGTATCTGTAACTGTAATAATCGAAATAAATTAGATAATTGGAAGACCCAACAGAAGCTTTCACCAAAAAAAAAACCCAACAAACCAACACTGAGACCAAGATATCCTATCTACAATACTGACAAAGGAGGGAAAAAGGAAACTCACTAAACAAAAATCCAGTGGAAAAAATGCTATCTCTAAGTTTCAACCTTGATTTAATAATTGAAACATCATGTTCCCTAACATTACACGTGACATGCTGTGGTATGACTTCTCTGATGTGC